AAGTCTAGGAGCCACCACCATCACCGCCACCACCGGATTTCTAGTACCCATTCGGGTTGCCCACGGTGAGCATAGACTCCGGCGGCTGCATGCCCAGCCACTCTAGGCACGCCCAGTCCTGCCATAGCAGGCTACTGTCGTCGGCGGGGCAGAACCCATGGAGCTGGCCAATGTCGAAAGCTTGCCTAATGCCCACTAACACGGCGGCACTGGCACCGAGCCGAGGCCCGCCGGATGCCCGCCAGCTCGCCGCCCTCCAGTGCGTTGAGCGTTTTGAGGATGAGACCCGAGGAGGCTTCCACAACCACTATTGTGAGCGCCAGCAGCTTCGCATGATGAAGTCATGGCTGCCTTTGCATGGGGGTAGCCTCAGTCGTAGAGGGGCGTCGGGTACGCGGAGAGGTATGCTCGTTGTCCTGCCTCTTCAATTTAGGCCTTGGAGAGCCTAGGCGAAAGCCGTGCACATTATTTGTATGTGCTATCGACGGCGACACCTTTGAGCGCCACTAACCTCCCTGGAGGCGTCGTTGTAGCCTCTCCACCCTGCAACCGTTGGGTCCCTCCGGGTGAAAACCTAGCTCTGGTTCTCCGGGGTGGTGGCGGTAACATCATTGACGTTGCATCCTACCTATAGGCATCGCCATGGAGGGTCATCGATCTTAGCCCTATCACAACTATTCTGTGGGGCCCTTTTTGTTGGCACTTCCTATATGGGAGCACAAGCTGTTTGTTGGCTGATATCTGCTGCAAATGTCTTTATTCTGACATTCTCCAGGTTCCTTGATTGCATCCTCTCATCATATATATGACGGGTTAGCGGGACCCTGATCACCTTTCTTTGGAGCTCCTCGTTGTACAATCGTTGGTCCTCCAACCGTGGAGGCTTTGTCCCCTCTAGGGGCGTAGGTTCACTACTATAGAATTGATAATCACCACCGCCTTTTTCACCGTAGGTTTGCTAAAAATCGGCAGTGATACTCATCACCGCCGGTTTGTATTACGAATCATTAGTGAAATGATTTTCACCATTGATTCGTGTTACGAACCGTTAGTGAAAATAGGGACGACTATCACCGCCGGCTAGTAACATGAACTGGCGATGACAACCTATCATTACTGCTGGTTTGTGTCACCATCTAGCAGTGACGGCGACCCATTTTTCACCGCCACTTTGTGTTAAGAACCGGTGGTAAAAATCACTTTCACCAACGGTTGGACTTATGCTGCAGCACAATAAAATGCATAACTTTTTGAAACAAAGTCAGATGAAAGCAAACTTTATATCAAAGTTGTACAACTCGACGAGATCTACAACTTTGTAGTTGATGACTTTTCATTTGAAATCATTTACGATCATAGAATTCCATTTGAAGCTCTTATATTTTAAAATTCAATTTCTCGAATTGTACAAACTGCCTCAGATTAAAAAATGATCAGAAGAAAAATTGTAGATTTCGATGTGATCTATAGCTTTGTAGTTGATGACTTTTTCAATTGAAATCATTTAGGATCTCAAATTTGTATCTGAAGTTCTAAAATTTTGAAATTTCAATTTTTCAAATGATCTCGGATGGAAAATCAACCAAAACCAAAGTTGTAGACTCGATGTGAACTACAACTTTGTAGTTGTTGACTTTTTCATTTGAATTCATTTGAGGTCCCAAAAGTATGGCTGAAGTTCCCACACTTTTAAATTCAAATTGTTCAAACGATCTCGAATGGCTAGACGACCAACATCAAAGTTGTAGATCTCGATTAGAACAACAACTTTGTAGATGATGACTTTGTCCGTCGAAGTCGTCTAGGGTCCTAAATATTCATTTCAAAATCCTGAGAAGTGAATAATAGAGAAATGAATATGCCATATAGATAGGAGCGACTTAGGGGTGGAGTGGTTAGAGCAGCTACGCACGAGGATAGAAGCCTTAGGTTTGAATCTCACCACCGACCGTGTGGCTAGATGGTGGGGTCTTCCCGAAGATTAAATCAAAATTTTCAGCTATTTTTTTGACCCAATTTTGGAATTTCTAGAAATCCTAATCACTGCAGGCTGGTAACACAAACCGGTGGTGATAGATTATCATCATCGCCGGTTCACAACCAGCGGTAATGAACATTCTTCATCACCAACAACTTTCATCGCCGAGAGCCAAAACCAGCGGTGATGAGGGGTCTGGAGCCGGCGGTGATGAACATTTCTGTAGCAGTGGTGGAAGGCGATTGGATCCCGGATGGACTCCATAGAAGACGTACATCACGGTTGTCGCCTGTCAATCTTTACTCAGTGCCTTACAGTCGCCCGTGGAATGGAGCTCATCAGAGTTTTGTCCCTTGGTGGCGCAAAATTTGGCGCTCATCGACATGCCTCCCTAGTGAGAGTTTTAGCTTGTTAATTAGCTCTCTCTGTGGTTGTTGGTAATGGTTGTTTGTCTATGTATGTGATGTTGTTGGTGTTGATGTTGGTTGTCATCTCTTTTCGCTCTCTCTTTGTACTGTGTTGGACCCTTCAAGGGTCGCCAATACTAGGTGCTTTGCACCCTTCGTTACCGGCTTGCCGGAATCTGTGGTAACTCAAGGTGGAGCCTCTCAGCTTCTCGGGTGTTTACACGTCAAAAACAAGAAGTGGTTGCTATATAATTAATCATATCCATATTACCATAAGGTGTTGAAACGGCAAAAGAACTGTACGAACCTAACTTATTAATGTACATGCTAAACAATGCCTAGCTAGAAAGTGACCGGCTGGGCTTTACATGCTCCAACCTAAAACCACGGATATTGTTCTACTGCTATCCCCATCAGTAGCACAAATAATATTCTCGCTGGTCATTTTATTCAAAATCCAAATGATGGTCGAAGTTGATAGCACTGCACGAGGTTAACGACTTCCACCACCATGTCGTCGTTTCATGCCAAAATATCGTCCAGAACAGTGAGTACATATATGCGCTATAATGTCGGCCTTCATGTAATAGTTAATTAATTAATTAACTGCAAAAGAGTAAAGGGAAAATTCTTTAATTAATTTACACCCTTTTCATCCTCTTTATTAACCGTACCTTTACACATGTAAAGAAAACTATCTACACTGGAATGATTAAAGTTACAAGATGCAGTTAGTGGGCATAGAATAAGACTTCCAACAATTATCTCGTACCCAAGCATGATGTTGCTGCACCTTGACCCTCATGCTTGGCCTCTCGTGCTGCACACACGCACTTGCTAGCACAACACACTTTCAGGTACGTCTATGGATTCAACCTAGCAGAATTCAAAGGGATCTCCAGAAATGCCATTTTGAGAATTCTTATCTTAAGCGACCACCTCTAGGAATAAAGCAATTTCTAGAGGTGATCCTCTAAATAGTTGTTGCGCAAAAAGTTTGTAAATATTTTATATTATAAGATGAAGATAAATTTTGTATTAAAAGTATAGGTCTCAATGAGACCTAAAACTCTTTATTACTGTTAGGTTTTACTTTAAGGTCATTTAGGAGGGCCAAGCCACCACCTCATGCAATATTTTTTTTTCTGTCCTCATGTACCGTCAGAGATAAACTGACAGGAAAAGTCAATCTTTCCTTACGGAAAACCGTCACCTAATATTTCTTGACAATCCTAACCGTCAAGAAAGATCTAACGTGTCAATTGGCAAACTTCCCGTCAGGGACGGTCCTAACGGCTACTGACCCATTAGAGATAATTTGAACATTCAAGTCAGTCGCTCAACCGTCAGCAAAGTTTTAAACTTCCATTGCCAGGCACTGAACCCGTCAGGGACAGTTTGAACCTTCCTATCGGTGGCAAATCCATCAGGGAAAAACTGGTTTTTCCGCCTACCATTAGGGTTGTGCAATTCCTGACGGTATGACCCCTTCAGGGAACATCTTTCATGTCAATTTGCATTTCTAGAAACACGGGTTATTTAGCCATTGAAACTGTTGTTCGTAGCAACTAATCAACCATTAAAAGCAATATTAACCGTTCATACAAACTAAAGTAATAAATATTATATTCAACAATCTTGGAACATCATTCAAGTTGTTGACAAATACAAAGCTATAGTAGCTATTGCCTCCTAGTTAGCCTTCTAATTACGTACCTAGCAGCCAGCACAATTTTAAGTGCTGATTATTAAGAGTCACTTTTGATGTCATTATGTACCTCCCAACACAATTACATGCAGCTAGCTGATATTCGACAACCAAAAAATCATCATTCCTTGATCCTAGAGTTGGTAATTTGTAGGTAGCTAGCTGCTATTTGATGGCAGTATGCAGCCAACACGCGTGCAGTGAATAGGCTCATTATCTATAGTCCACCCTACTACCAAAACAACATAAATAAGACCATTCATGGGCATGTATAGACCAAATAAATTTTGGAAATAATTCACTATATAAGAAAGGAACATACATATCACAATAAACATATATTCAAAGTATTAAAGTGTGTCAGGAAGATATATATATGACAACTTAATTTCAGAATTTAAAAAAAGTTGCACACAACATTGATACACATGGACTTGCTAGTTGTGGAGTATAAACCCTTTTTAGTATTTAGTTGCTTGCAGTTCAGGTAGATAGCGTGAAAAGGGCTTAAGATGTCAATCTTATCATGTCATTTTCTTTTTCCTGATGTAGGTGTGATGGTATCTCTATTTGTACTTTGTTAACAATAAGTTGCAACACCAAAATAGAATTGTATATATCTCAAGTACACGACCACCTGTGTATTGCCTCTCCTCTATATATAGGCTCGTCCCTCCCCTCCTTCTCCCACACAGCCTCTCCTTGCATCTCCTCGACCACCTAGCATAGCAGGCTAGCACTAGCAGCCTCCCTCAACACTTGCAAGCGCTTGCCTGCTAGCTGCGTTGTTAAATTCACAACGATGAGGAGGCAGAACTCGCTCGCTCGCTCATACTCCTCAGTGGCACAGGTACCGGCATCGCCAGCGCACAACGGAGGAGCTAATGGCAAGCACTTGGCTCCGCCCATGGAGGTGTCGGCGGAGGCCGGGAACGCCTGTGCTGCCGAGTGGCTGGACGACGACGGCCGTCCTCGCCGCAAGGGCACGTTCTGGACGGCCAGCGCGCACATCATCACCGCCGTCATCGGCTCCGGCGTGCTCTCCCTGGCCTGGGCCATCGCGCAGCTCGGCTGGGTGGCCGGCCCCGCCGCCATGCTCCTCTTCGCCTTCGTCACCTACTACACCGCCACGCTGCTCGCCGAGTGCTACCGGACCGGCGACCCCGACACGGGCAAGCGCAACTACACGTACATGGACGCCGTGCGCTCCAACCTCGGCGGCAAGAAGGTCGTGTTCTGCGGCGTCATCCAGTACGCGAACCTCGTCGGCGTCGCCATTGGCTACACCATCGCGTCGTCCATCAGCATGAAGGCCATCAGGAGAGCTGGCTGCTTCCACACCCATGGTCATGGTGATCCCTGCAAGAGCTCCAGCACCCCGTACATGATCCTCTTCGGCGTCGTGCAGATTCTCTTCTCCCAGATACCGGACTTCGATGAGATTTGGTGGCTCTCCATTGTCGCCGCCGTCATGTCCTTCACTTATTCTTCCATCGGACTGTCCCTCGGAATCGCACAGACCATCTGTAAGTTATTGATTCTTCAATCGGATATTCGGATTGGTTAGATACTTATGCATGCAGTGACTACGATTGATGGATTCTTATTTAGCTACTGCTCGTTCTGAATCGATGGAATGAATTATTGCAGCCAATGGTGGGTTCAAGGGCAGTCTCACCAGCATCACCTTCGGCGCTGGCGTGACCTCCACGCAGAAGATCTGGCACACCCTGCAGGCCTTCGGCGACATCGCCTTCGCCTACTCCTTCTCCAACATCCTCATTGAAATCCAAGTATCAAGCCTCGATCCTATGCTGTGCTCTGTTTTCTTCATCCAGAGATATTGTTCTGTTTCTAACCAAGATCGCTTATTTCTTCCAGGACACGATCAAGGCACCACCGCCGTCGGAGTCAAAGGTGATGCAGAAAGCGACGCGTCTCAGCGTGGCGACGACAACCATATTCTACATGCTGTGCGGGTGCATGGGGTACGCGGCGTTCGGCGACGCCGCCCCGGATAACCTCCTCACCGGCTTCGGTTTCTACGAGCCCTTTTGGCTGCTCGACGTGGCCAACATCGCCATCGTCGTGCACCTCGTGGGAGCCTACCAGGTGTTCTGCCAGCCCATCTTCGCCTTCGTCGAGCGCCGCGCCGCCGCGGCCTGGCCGGACAGCGCCTTCATCTCACGGGAGCTCCGCGTGGGCCCCTTCGCGCTCAGCGTGTTCCGGCTCACGTGGCGGTCGTCGTTCGTGTGCGTCACCACCGTCGTGGCCATGCTGCTGCCGTTCTTCGGTGACGTGGCGGGGCTCCTCGGCGCCATCTCGTTCTGGCCACTCACCGTCTACTTCCCCGTCGAGATGTACATCAAGCAACGCCGCGTGCCTCGTGGCAGCCCCAGGTGGATCAGCCTCCAGACGCTTAGCTTCACCTGCCTCCTCGTCTCAATTGCCGCCGCCGCCGGTTCCATCGCCGACGTCGTGGATGCGCTCAAGGTGTACCGGCCGTTCAGCAGCTAACTTGGAAGAACGTGGAGGGATCTGTGTAAAACGCAGGACCGTGAACAACTCTTGAAACAATCGATCACTAGGCAAGCAAAGCAAGGCGACCTAGTGTTGAGCATCTCCAAGGGAAAACTAATAACACCTTAAAACTGATATATTTGCGTGGTTACCAGTAAAACATCGGTCCAACAGCTCCCCAAGCCTGCCCCCAAGATTTAGGGCCCGTTTGGCATGGCTCCGGCTCGTGAAAAAACAGCTCTAGCTCTGTCTCGTATGGAAAAGCAGCTTTTTCTGACTCTGGCTTATTTTGTACGAAAACGTTTGGTAAAACGTCTTCTCCTAGTGTAAAGAAGATGTGAAATGTCCAAAATACCCTTATATTTTTTTTCTTTTTTCTTTTTTCTCTTCATTTTTCTTTCTTTTTCTTTCTTTTTCTTTTCTTCTCCCTTCTTTTCTTCTCCTTATCCGAACGGCCTCACTCCATCCATCTCTCTCTCTCTCGGGCGTTCGGATAAGGAGCTACCGGCACCCACTCCCTCCATCCATCTCTCTCTCTCTCTCTCTCTCTCTCTCTCTCTCTCTCTCTCTCTCTCTCTCTCGGGCGTAGCAGGGAGGCCAAGCGGGCGAAGCTCGAGGCCGCCCACGGAGCAAGGAGGGGCCGACAGGTGGCATGAGCTGGAGACCGGCGGGGTGGAGCAGGGAGAGGCCGGCGGTGGGGCGGAGCGGAGCAGGGAGAAGCCGGCGGTGGGGCGGAGCTCGAGGCCGACGAAGTGGAGCATGGAGAAGCCGGCGGGGCGGAGCTCAAGGCCGACGGGGCGGCGTAGGGAGGCGACCGTCGGCGCGCGGCGCCGGGGAGGAGAGCAAGCCGGGGACAGGGATGGAAAGTGACGAGCTCGAGCCAGGGTAAGCCAGTATTTTTGGCTTCTCGCGTGGGGAGGAACCGAGTCAACTGGTTTTGCGGGGCTTTTGCCGGCTTCTTGCCGCAAGCCGTTTTGTCCGTCGCCATTTGGCAGGGCTTCGCCTGAAGCCGCTCGAGGAGCCGGGCCAAAAGCCCTGCCAAAGGGGGGCTTACTCGCACAGCCGCACTGAAAAAACAAGCCAGCGCCTGCATCTCTGCAAAAGGAAGACGCGCCCCCACCACGCTCGTCCGCGCCATTTTGCCGAGCTTTTGGCGTGCTCTGTAGGTATACCCGACGTCAAAGTTGCCTCCTATCTTCTTCCACCCAGTCGTCAAACGATTGGAAATCAGGTCGGCAGGAGCTGCTGGTTCTCTTCATGGGCATGTGCATGTCCATCAAAACGCAGATGTGGCAGCCCTTGTCCGTCGGCGTGCAGACGCGGCTTCCCCTGTCCGTCGACGCTTCGGTGAGGCCACTGCCACCAGTGCAGACGCCTCTGGCTCAGTCCGCCGGCAAGCATACCGTCCAGGGCTCTAGGCGATGAGCGGACGGAAAAATTCATGATCCAACTAACTAATGACGTGGTGAGCTTAAATTATTTTTGGGTGCAAAGACTAGGGAGTTGTTGTGGAGGAAACTAATTTTAGAGGCTGAAGAGAGGCCCCAATAAAGAGTTTTCAGGGTTAATTTTTTAGGAAGCTCTTGGATTGGTTCAATTAGGCTGGAACCAGCTCTAAACAATTTGGTCTATTCCTAATAAAATAAGAAAAACAAAAGATAAAATCGGCAAATAACTTTCCCCAACCATAACTGCACAAGTTGTGAAAACCAACCCCAAATAAGCAACTCCCACATCAAGAAATCAAGCAAATCAAACACACGTGACACATCAGAAAGGGAGTCATTTACCGGTTCAAACGGAGGAAGAATGCAGTGCAATCATGTCGGGGTCAGGGATGGGTGGACGATGGTTTTTGCGCAAAAAAGAACCATTGGGCAGCGTTGGATTGATAATAAGCAACTGGATGTGAAAACATCTGACTGCTTGTGTCCTAAATTGCAGTGTGCAGTGTCCTTTGCAATTCAAAAAAAGTTATAGCTAGTGCATCAGAGGTCTGTCATGTGCCTCGATCAGGGGCAAGTACTGACCTATAGCAGCCACTAATACTGCCCAAAGGAAGCCTCCCAAGTGTGTAGCAGCAAGGATAAATGGAGAGGCATCCCAGAACATCGGCAGCTGCTGCAACACTAGAAAGGGATATTCCCAAACCTCACATTTACTGGATTCTTGTCGGCTCCAACCAGGCACGGTTCATCAGCTAGCCCTAACAGCTAACTAGTCAAACGAAGGTATGATTAGCACTAGTTCATTTATGTTCTCGTGTCCTAGTTTTAGACCTTAAGATCCTATGAATCTACCAATGGCACAAGAGCCTTTGTGTAAGCTCAAGTTTTTTCTTTAAACTCTGTGTAAGCTCAAGTTAGGACTAGCAGTTCTCTTGTTTATACCTAGTTCACGTTACAAAGCACAATAGTGCCTATCTTGGGTTTTCAGTGGTGTGTCACATCATCACGCATGAGGGGATTTAAAAGAAAGAACACAAAGTACTTCAAATTCCCAAGATCCAAAACCCTAGATCCCCAAATCCCCAAAATTTCCCCAGTTTTATCCAAACCCGAGCCCAAAAGGATGGCAGCAGACTGCCATAGCCTTTCTTGATTTCCCGTCATCACGGCCCAGCTCGGCCTGAAATCTTCAATGGCCCGATTTTCTATTCATTTTTCCTATGCCGGCCAGCTTTTCCGTCTCTTTTTTTTTCGTCCACTCTTGCTTACCCGCTTGCACGGCCGAGTGGCCGAGCTTAGCCTGCCTGGAGCATTCGATCCAAGGCCCACCGGAGAAAAAAAGAACACAAACACGCAGTGTGGGCAGAAGGGTTCGAACCTTGGGCCTGAACAACAAGGGCAATTTGCCTTACCACTGAGGTACAAACAGTATTTATTTATATTTTTTAGATAATAAATTCATTAATCTGGCCTCTCAATATTTATTTATATAGGCTACAAAATGGCCTGCCGCCAGGATAGAAGGAATTTTAAAATTAATGCTGTTGTTTGAATGATTGATTGGATTGTGTTGTGAAATATGTCGCTAAACTTTCTCTCTTCGTCTCTCATGATTAACATAATAGATAAAAGTAGAACATATAGACACAAGATAGGAAGACTATTTTTTATTTCTCTGAATATCGATGATTACAACATAGAACTCCCACGTATATATAGTCCTGCCAAGATATAAGAGTTTGATAAGAACCCACATAACAAACATACAAGAATTATGATTTCTCCTTCTCTTTTCCTTCTATAATAAAATCTATATGTTTTACAACACTCCCCGTACTCCCCTAGGCCATTACCCTGATATGCACATACCTGATATGTGGGGCCGTGACTTCCCGAGGTGGACACCTCATTTCTGTGCATGAAGTGTTCTGCCGGACTGCTAGGGAGAACCACCGGACTCTATGCCATGTTCGTGCAGATTGATAAGGGCCTGTTTGATCCACCAGCTAAATTTTAAATTTAGCAGCTATGGATCCAAACGGCCAAGCTAAAAGATTAGCTCAAGTTTAGCTGAGTTTAACTGTTTCAACCCAGCTAAACTCAGTTAAAGTTTAGCTGAGTATAAGTCGGAGGATCAAACACACTCACTAAAGTTTAGTTAGGAGAATTTTTAGTTGGTTAAAATTTAGCTTTAAAATTTTAGCTAGCTAAATTTAGTTGGATGAATCCAAACAAGGCATAAGTCTAAAGCTATGTATTTCCAGAATGGTCCAGGTGATCTGCTGTCTGAGAGTGCACTACAGAGTCCAGAAAATACATAATTTTATATACGATCTTTCCAAAATAGAGATTAAAATGTTAATGATGCTCACGATGTCAATGCTTATGCATTAGTCACGACCGGGTCATGACACTATGTTAGCCCATTAGTCATATTGTAGTCTATATAGGGGTGGGGGCTATATAAATTAGCCTTCCTCACCATAGGAGGCTAGGCATGGGATTTGCTAAAATTCATGTGTCTGAATTTTAGTTTTCTTTCCTGCGATGGTTATTGCATATGTTGTATATTAAAATTACAGATTTCGTTTACTGCAATTTCTATAAGCGCAATCTATATTTTTTGGTACCGAGAATAAAAAACATATTAGACAAAACTATAAACCCGACAAAATCTAATTTGCATTGTATTGGCACAAAGATAATTAACAATTATTTCTATAGGAAGACAAGGACAAAAATTCAATATGTTATGATACAAAGACAATAACAAATCATAAAAATAATAATTTATTTGTATTAATTGGTGCCACAAGAGTATTGCCTGAAATTACCTTAAAACTCAGACACCTAGAATATAGGAGAAGTGGAACTCTATGGCTACCGAGAGAGAAGGAGAGGAGGAAAGGAGAGAGAAAGATGAATGTTACTTTATTTTTTATATTCAGCCTAATCGGTTGGCCGGTTCGTATCGTTGCTGGTTCATGAAGAAGTACTGCTGGCTGGTTTGTGTGAGAGAAAAATACTATTCCGGCTGGAAATTTACGATCGTTTACGACAAGCCACAGCCAAACGAACAGACTGATTATAGATAGTTCATATATATAGGGATACCTTTAGCCATGGACTGCATCTCTATTTACTATTTCTACGTCAAAAGCGGGCTAACGGATAGTGCCACGTCGCCCGTAAACCCACTAGCCGTCTGAAGCATCCGATCGGAGGCGTAGCGGGTCTCTCACCCGTTAAGCTGTCAACCCGGACGGTTACGAACCCGCTCGGGAGCGACTTGGCCTCTCGGCGGCGCGTTTCTCTGCTCCGCCGCCCTCGCACCTCCCTCCTCCTTACGGCGCCCGGGCGGGGTGCGGGCGCCGCGTGCGCGGCGTTCCCGGCCATCCCGGCACGGGTGGGGGCCCCGCGCGGGCCCGGCCGCTCCGGTCCCGGCCATCCCGGCGCGGCGCAGGGCCCCAGCTGCCCGTACGACCCCGGCGCGGCGGGCGTTGCGGGTGTGGCGGCTCCGGCCACCCTGGAGTGGGTGGCGGGCACAGA